CGCTCTCACCTCCCACAGATGCTCGGGGCTGCCCCCTCTGCCTTGTGCCGCTTTTCAAGGACCTCCTGGGAGCTAAATACAGCCGCCAACGAGAAAAAATGTGCTCAGAGGCCAAATGCCCCCTGGAAGTGCTGGGCGGAGGCAGAGACACCCCTGAAGCCAGGAGCCCCCCCCAAACCCCCTCATCTCGGCAGGTGCTAATTCCTGGCATTTAATTACAGCCCCTTGCCACACATTGGCTGCGCCCAGCTTTGCAGTGGGGGAATCACCCCTGCGCCACATGCCCCGACCCGGGGCGAGCTACTGCCGGCTCCTGCCTCAGTTTCCCCAGCTGCGAGCTCTACAGAGCAGCTCTGCCAGACAGGGGCAGCTTTCCAAGGGACTTGGGGACACGATGGGGAATCTCTTGCTGGGCCCAGCATCGCCTTGCTCCCCGCGGGCGGAGGGAAGGATGCTGCCCGTACCCCGCTCTCCCCCACATGTCTCCGCAGGCGGCAGCTCGGGGCCGGGAGCCGTGGAGGTGACAGATGGGGACGTGCCGGGCGCGAGGCCTTTGTCTGCGCCGTGGCGGCGGCGCACACGGCGATACGGACCCGCAGATGGCGGCTGCCAACGGGGCCAGGACCACAGCCCGTGGCCAGGCGAAGCGCTGGGCCCAGGGGATCCGGCCCTTTTGTTGGGGTCTCACCTCCGGCAGCGGGGGCCCCTTCCCGGCTGCCCCCCACCAGCCTTTCAACTTTCAACTTGACCTGCTCCTTTCACATGGAAATGGGATGCAAATGGGTCTGGGGGGTGAGGGGGGGGTGCCAGGGGCCAGCGGCTGCGACCTGCCAGCGGGTCCCTGCACCCAAATCTGAGGGATCATAGCCACTCGCTTGGGGCAGCCGGTGGTCCTTGGGGTGGAGGGGGTCCCACTTGTCCCCCAGCAATGGAGCAGCAGCCTTCCCCTGTCCAGGAAGACCATCCCCGCTGCTCGCAGCTGAAAGCAGATATTAGGGGATGGCTCTTGCCGGGTCTGAGCTCGAGGACGGACCCCCGCTCTCCCAGGCTGCCGATCCCCCTGTTGCCCTCGCATCATCTGGGCACCCCCGTGGCACAGGCAGCGTGCCCACCCCGGGGACCCCCGCTGCACCCCCTGCCCTGCGCTGACTGCGGCTGGGGATGGGGTCCCCAGCCCTGGCTGGGTGGGGAGGGGGCTTCCCGGCCGGCCAGTCACCGGAGCCCGGCAAAGTCCCGCGGCCAGGGACCGCTCGGCTACCAAATGTTGCCATCTGCCTCCGGGGCCTTCGCTCGCATCTGCCGGGGGTGCAGAGGGGCGAGGGGCTGGGGGGGGACCGGGGGGGGCCAGGGGCTCAGCTGCAGCGTGGGGAGGGGGCAGAGGAGGCACAGCCGTCTCACACCGCACAGGCAGCGCAGGCAGCACGTGTCGGGCGCATTTGGGCGAGGAGCGTGAAGCGGAGGCGCGGGGGTCCCGCACCCAGCACCCCCTCGGGCTCCCCTGCGCCGCAGCCATTCGCCCTTGGGAGGGGTCTCGCCGCCGGCTGTGCCGCTCCTTTGTGCTGCCAAATTAAACACAGAACAATCGCCGTCCCCTCCCTGTCCCCCTCCCCATCCCCATGGATGCACGGGGACCTCAGCTGCCCCGGGGCCAGCCCGAGCCCCCCGCACCTGGTTTCTCCCAGTATCTTGGACCCGCTCCCCCACTCCCAGGTTCTCCTGGGCACTTGTACTGGTTTTCGCTGGGATAGAGTTAATGTTCTCCATAGCAGCTGGTACGGGGCTGTTTTGGATTTGTGCTGAAAACAGTGTTGATAACCCAGGGATGTTTTAGTTATCTCTGAGTGGTGCTTGCACAGAGTCAAGGCCATTTCTGCTTCTCACACCGCCCCACCAGTGAGCAGGCTGGGGGTGCACAAGGAGCTGGGAGTGGACACAGATGGAACCCCACTGACCAAGGGATATCCCATCCATAGGATGTCCTGCTCAGCAATAAAAGCCGGGGAAGAAGGAGGAAAGGGGGACATTTGGAGTGATGGCATTTGCCTTCCCGAGTCACCGTTATACGAACACATGCCTGCCATGGGCAGCACTGAAGGAATTTGAACTGGTTTTACTTTGCTTACACATGCACCTTTTGTTTTCCCTCTTAAACTGTCTTTACCTTAATCCACCCATTTTCTCCCTTTTACCCTTCCCATTCTCTCCCCCATCGCACCGGGGTGGGGGTGAGCAAGGGGCTGGCGGGTGCTGA